ACTCACCTCAGCCTCCCAAGGCACAGGATTACAGGCTGAGCCACCGAGCCTGGCTGAAGCCCATATTCATAAAATATACTCATATTTCTTCTCAGCAAGCAAAAGATGCTCTTTCATGGGAGCTAACAGATTGCCCTTTGGGGGTTAGTTTTCTCTGACCTCAAAGCAAATATATGTGGTCCAGTCTTGTAAAAATAAAAAGAATAGATTAGTAAATGAATTTTCTAAATGAATACCTCCAAAGTCAAAATTGTTATCATGAGTCTCACTGATTCTTCTTTCTATGTTATTTTCCCTCATATATATATATATACACATATATATGCCTTATTTAGTCAAAACCTATATTGCCCTCAGGAAAAAAAACTTTTTTTTTTTTTTTGAGTTGGAGTCTCACTCTGTTGCCCAGACTGGAGTGCAGTGGCCGCTTCTGGCCACCGCAGCCTCGACCTACTGGGCTCCAGCAATCCTTCTGCCTCAGCCTTCCGAGTAGCCGGAATTACAGGCGCACGCTACCACGCCTGGCTGATTTTTTGATTTATTGTAGAGATGAGGTCTTGCTGCGCAGGCGGGTCTCGAACCCGCAGGCTCAGGCAATCCACTCACCTCAGCCTCCCAAAGGCGCGGGATTACAGGCTGAGCCACCGAGCCCGGCTGAAAAAAAAAAAAACTTTTAAGCAAATTTTGATTTAAATGAATTTCAATTTTTTTCTAAAATGTGGTTGTTTCCCATAGAGCCTGAAAAGAAAGACTAAGTACAGAATTTACCCAAAATATTAGGAGATATATTTAGCATTTTGCTTTTCTTATATACAGAGCTGCTTTGCTATGTAATAAACACAGAATCTTCTTGCAGCCATCAAGTGATGGGCTCCCACATGTTTTGATCTCAAGCATAGATCTATCTAGTCTTTTTGAAGTGCTGTTGGACAAAGAACATTTGAGTTTTTGTCTTCATGTTATATTTACCAGACTATTTTTGGTTAAGTCTCCTTTTTCAAAGTTGTTATATATTTCTTTTTATATAAACTTGAATATTATTCTTTTTTATGAATATTATTTCCAACTTATGCTTTATTAATCTTGGTTTTCATCATTTCTCCCTGGAAATATCCCCCTTTAAGAGCTTGCTCCTACCTCTAGTTGCCCAGTATTCAAATCTGCTGGAACAGTTTAATTATTTTTAGTGTCAAGGAGATATATAAGGTATGTGACAAACTCTTGTAACTCATTCCCAATCCATTAAAGGTTATTGAAAGAAGTCCCTTTTTTTTTTCTTTTTTTGAGTTGGAGTCTCACTCTGTTGTCCAGGCTGGAGTGCAGTGGCACACTCACAGCCACCACAACCTTGACCTGCTGGGCTCAGGCAATCCTTCCGCCTCAGCCTTATAAGTCGCTGGAACTACAGGTACACACTACCACGCCTGGCTAATTTTTTGATTTCTTGTAGAGACGAGGTCTTGCCAGGTTGCCCAGGCTGGTCTTGAACTTGTGGGCTCAGTCAGTCCTCTCACCTTTGGCTCCCAAAGTGCTGGAATTACAGGCTTGAGCCACTGCGCCCAGCCTAGATATCCCTATTTTGAATTGTACTAAGGGACAAAATGAAGCTATTAGAAGGTGAAAAGCCTAGGGCTTCTAGTTTTTAGGCAGAATAGTGACAAGGAAAAAGAAAACCATTATATTATGTACCCCTGAATGATTTTTCAGAGGTAGTTAACAATCTGGTCTGGATGCTTTAACTAGGAATTTCAGTAATAAATTCTTGTATCAAAAAGGGCTACTTCTGTTTATCAAAAAGCAAAAATGGCCAACTACTAACAGAGAAGCAAAATTATCTCCAGGTAGAAATAGGAGGAATACTGTATGTTTGCAACTTAGCAAGACAAAATAGCCAATGGTTAAAGCTGTATCTTCACTGTGTCCTTCATTTAACAGTTTATTTCTCTATTGCTATCTCCATCCTGCTGAGCTGAGCCTAGTTTTTATCAAGTGGAGGCCAGTTGAATTGTAGGATTACCTTCTTGGGATGAGGAGTTAGAGATCTGGTGCTGTGTCATAATGGGAAGAGGAATTATAAAATTAAGAAGTGAGCTCTTTATGGGTTATATAACTGCTAAAAGCTATGGGGTTGTGATGCTTCACTGCTTCCAAGAAAAGCACTTTACTTAAAGAAAAAAAAAAAGCAAGCAAATATGCCTTGTTGTGTATTTTCAATCTGAATGCAATTTGTGGATTGGTAACATCTATCCTGGATGTGGTGTGTTTTCTACCAATGCCCAGCCTCTGATGGGTTGTCCTTGGTGTGTTTTTTGTCCTGATTATTTATTGTTTTGCATCTTTGTCCTTTCAACTGTAGGATTTAGACAAAAGTCAAGAAGAGATAAAAAAACATCATGCCAGCATCAGTGAGCTGAAAAAGAACTTCATGGAGTCTGTACCAGAACCACGGCCTAGTGAATGGGATAAACGTTTATCCACTCACTCCCCCTTCCGAACTCTCAACATCAATGGGCAAGTCCCCACAGGAGAAGGAGTAAGTACTTTGTACACATTACAAATTGTGAGAATGAATAGAATAAATGTTTTTATATATTAATATTCTATATCTGAGAGAAAACTTAGAGCTGAAATTTGGCTTTGGTGCCTCACCAGTTTATTACAGCTTTAAAGTATTAGTACTCAAACATTCATTTTTTAAATCATGTAGGCTACCCAGTCCAATTATGGGAGCCATTCAGAGCTATCAGTTAAAGATTAGGCTCTGAGAGCTGTCTCTGAAACTGCATGCTGCTAGCTAATGTGTGTTTATAAATTGACCATAAGCCAGCAGAGCTTTGTTTATATTCAAACTATGCCTTCAAGGACCAGAAAGTTTACTAAATTTAGTAAGGTCAAAATAGGAGAGGAATTCACATTTTTTAAAAACTTTATTTGAACATTTGCACAACTTAGAAATAGCTGGAATGATTACCCACAATTATATAATAAACTAAGAAGGCCCCAAGCCAGAAAATTTAGAACATCAAGTATTAACGATTACATTTCAACTTTAGAAAAACCACTGATGGTTTATTTTATATTTATGAATAACATGAAACTTTTAGTACACTGTTTTGTAAGGTAGTCACAATTAGAGGAGGCTAGAAATACCTTTCAGAGCTGATCTTTTTCTGTTATTGTTGTTACTACTATTTTAGAAATCCTACATCTGAATAAAGAATCTGTTTTATGAAAATATCTTGAGCATATACTTAGAAAGTTTTCATCTTTACCCAGCACATGGTTACCATGAGCATATACCACAAAGTTTTACCTTTAGCCAGTACAGGGTAAATATTTATATAAATAGTCACCATGACTTGATGAGCGATTATAATTATTTGCTTGTTTTCCGCTCAAAACAATAGTAATTCTAGTTAAGAAAGGTAATGTCTTAATAATTAAAAAACTGTTATTTGGATTTTGTTTTGTTTTGTTTTGTTTTGTTTTTTTGAGTTGGAGTCTCATTCTTTATCTCCCAGGCTGGAGTGCAATGGCATGCTCACAGCCACCGCAGCCTCGACCAGCTGGGCTCAGACCATCCTTCCACCTCAGCCTTCCAAGTAGCTGGAACTACAGATATGAGCCACCACACCCAGCTAATTTTTTGATTTATTGTAGAGACAAGGTCTCGCCAAGTTGCCCAGGCTGGTCTTGAACCCCCAAACTCAGGCAGTCCTCTCGCCTCGGCCTCCCAAAAATGCTGAGCCACCATGCCTGGCCTGTTTGTTTTTCATTTTTATTACTCATGGTAACCTACCCAAATTATTATTTAGTTTCTGGAACTGGAGAAGGTGATAAAAATTTGTTCACAAAGGGTACTTTTTGTATTTTTCAAAATGTCATTAAAATTGGCTAACAATTCTCCAGAGTTGGTCCAGTTTCACAAGTAAGACAGGAGAATACCTGAATGACGGGCAGTTACCAAGGATAATAGAATGCTATTCTATTATTCCTACTCATTGTCCTCTCAGTCTTCATTTTCTGACATAAATGGGCATTCATTTTGTATTCTAAATCTAGAGCTTGTACCCTGAACTGGGACAATAATTCTGATTTCTGGATGAGACCACTAATTTCAGTGTCAGTCAGATATTTCATTTTGGTGTGTCCCAGGTAATAAGAGTCATAAAATAGTTCAAACTGTGGCTTGATTTGATAGGGAGGGTCTGGCTAATCAAAGCCTAACTGAATGATTCTGAACAAGTCATTTATCAGGTTGGGGCTTAGTTTATGGAGTAGATGATCTTTAAGGTCCTTGCTAACTCTAAAATTCTATAAGTATAAGACTCTATGAGGAAATGCCTTATTGCTATATCGCCTGGTTAACCCAATCTGCAAACTATAACTGCTTTTCCAGAAGTTTTCTTTTTGACTCTGTGCAATAATAAAAGATGCTTAACTAGTTTGAAAAAGTAACTTGGTATTCCCTTAGTTGAAGTTGAGTAAATTTGAATTGATCTCCATTTCCAGAAAATATCTTATGTCTTTTAATAGAAACCCTTCAGAAATCATCTCAGGGCTGGTTTTGGGAATGATGATGTCATTCTGTGTACTCTAAAGTTTATAAACTAAACTAGGTCCATGGAGAGTACTTGAACAATTTTAGCTCTATGCTATTACCCCTCTAAATGAATAATGGAACAAATAAGCACTGTACTATGATGACCCTTTATATTGGATAAATTCCACTTTCTGGCATATCTTACTTATTCTTTAATAATTAGGATAATATTTCTGTTCTCTGGGGATACCTCTTCCACCATTGACAGCATTGTTGTTGCATTGCAAAGCAACTGAATTTTATATAATTTGTGTATGACCAGGTGAAGAAAACCTCTATCCTTCCCTCGGAAAGAAAGGTTGGTGGGCCAGAGGTAAAGCTGCTGTTATGACTTGTGCTTCCCAATCAGAATTTGCTCTTGTCATGGCACTAAGCAGATAATCCCCCCAGAACTGAACAACAGCTGCTGAATAATTTCTTTTTTTTTTTTTGGCTAACTAGTAAATTCACACCCACAGCCTTTTTGGCCTAACACATAACACTTCCACTGCTGCAGCTTTTGCAGCTTTCAGTTTGCTTATTTCGGCGCATGGCTGGTTGAAAAGCTGCATGAAGATGTAAATATGTATTCAGAGAGAAAATGAATTTAATTATACCCTATTCTTTTTATGTTGTCTTTCTTCTCCCTTTTTATTTTATTTTAAAAATCATTATAATTTTGCATCCTTTCTTTTCCTTTTTTTTTTTTGCTGACCAGTCCCCTAGCTACTTTCTCCCTGATACATATCACTTAGGGGTGTGCAAAGAACCAGTGTTGAACTTCCAAACTGATCAAAGAAGGCTAGCTCAACTGAGAGAACTTAGAGCTAAGTTTTTCCTTTCATAGATAATGTTTGTCTTGATTGTAGATAGCAAAGTACAGAAATTTCAGGGGGAGAAAAACTTCTCAATTGGACAATTGAGGGAAAAAAACTTTCCTTTTTTTTTTTTTGAGTTGGAGTCTCACTCTGTCACCCAGACTGGAGTGCAGTGGCTGCTCCCGGCCACCACAGCCTCGACCTGCTGGGCTCCAGTGATCCTTCCGCCTCAGCCTTCCAAGTAGCTGGAACTACAGGCGCACGCTACCATGCCTGGCTAATTTTTTTGATTTATTGTAGAGATGAGGTCTCGCCAAGTTGCCCAGGCTGGTCTCGAACCTGTGGGCTCAGGCAATCCACTCACCTCAGCCTCCCAAGGCGTGGGATTACAGGCTGAGCCACTGAGCCCGGCTAAAACTTTCCTTAAAAGTGTCAAAAGTATTTACGTAAAGTAATGTATTAACCTTCTTGGTGGTTCTTATTATTATCTTTAATCATGATTCTGAAAGAGACAGGAAACTATTTGCAAGTATTGAGACCTTGTGGGTTTTTAAATTTTATTTATTTATTTTTTGGTAGACCTTGGAGGCACATTATAAACTTTTATACTTTTTGTTTTTCTTTTGCAATCTTTCAGATGTATAAATTTAAGATTTTTCTTTCCTTGAGCAAAAGCTGATTACCATACTGAATAAACTGTTACAGTTTTTTAATTCCATATGAAGAGATATGAGGATTACTTTTTTTATTCTGCCATTCTATTTGTAATAAAAGCAACTTTTCTGATGGCAAGAAGAATGCTCCATTATTAGCATTGCCCAATTGATAATTGGCAGCACCAAAGCAATGAACAATGACCCAAAATTCATATGTGAATATCCTCAAAGGAAGAATAAATAGTGTAACTAAGGAAAGCCAATGATTCCTTGAACTTTCAGTTCTATTGTTCATTCATTCAAAAAGTTATCTATTGAGCACACTACTGTGTTATAGAAACTTTGCCAGGATAAATTGCTAAAATAAAGTAAAGCTAAAATGGAGAGTATCTAAAACATCTTTCTAAATCCTTTGCACATCCCCAAGTATCATTTTCGAACATTTTTCATCTGTCATTTTGTTCATCTTATTCTGTCTTTCTTGATCTTCTACCGTGAAAGCAGACACAGGAACGTGCTCTGTTAGTACAGGATGAAGAGAAAATTAAAAGGCAAGAGAGATCTACTGAAAGAGCCTTGCCCCAGCAAGAAAATGAAGAAATTCTTCCCAAGGTTTCTATTCCAATCCCTGAGGATCACAAGTCTCTCAAAAAGTGCCACCTCTACTTTAGTACTTTTCCATCTCCTCGTGTTCCTTTCATGATGTCTTTTCTCGTGGTCCTTGCGTTGGCTGTTTGGTGGTTGGTCTTTCTGTGATCGGAAAACAGGGTGCTCATCTGAAATATCAAGACTAAAACCATTGAACTTTTGTCCTTGGCTTCAACTGTGTTATCTCCTGTATGTCCTCTGATCTTGATAGTTCACTGTCCTAGGGGAGTTCTTGTGATCATTTTTCTGTCAATAAAATGTTACTCTTTGTAGAGTATGTATTATGAGGTTCAAAGGAGTAGCAATGGATTGCCCAAGGCCAGCTTTTCTGCACCAAGATTTAACAAATTAAAGCAAATCAGATTTAAGCATATGGCAGATTGGTACTTTTCCCAAAAGCTGTAATCTTTATATCCTGCATGTTCTTACTGTTTACTATTGCCATGTCCTCCTATCCAGTATCTCACACAAACTAGGATATTCTGTAGACACATTTGATGGAATATTTTCCTGATCTTCTATAGTCATTTGTGTGGCATGGGCTTCGTAGTTTAAGAAAAAAATTCAACTTGCTAACTTTTCAGAAGCCTTAAAGTGATAACATTTTAATCTACAAATCCATAACCACTCCTTTTCTTAGGATATCAAACCAGTATACACAAAGGCCTTTTCTGGAAAAGGGCTTTTGACTTCTGTGGCCTTTTTTATTAATATTTCTGAGCTGTACAGGGACAGATTACTTTATCCTGCCTGATGTATAAAAGAGATCTTCAAAGGTTAAATGCCATCTTTTCATAAATAGAGTGTTGATATGATTTAAGGAAAATGG